GGGCGGCGGGGCCGGCGCTCGCTGCCTTCGCCCCGACAGCATCGCGCTCCGGCCGTAACATCTGCTAGGGAGGGCGTGCTTGTAACTAGGCAGGGTGTTAAGCTGGCTTTAGGGTTTGGTTGGGTTTTTGGGGGTTTTTTGGGGGGTTGGGGTTTTTTTTTTTGAGGACGGGAGCGGCCATCGAGAAGTAACAATATAAGTAGTAGTATTTTTCCTTCAGCGTTATCATTATTACGATGATGATGATGTTATTTTAGTTGAATCGGATGTAACTTGAGTACTCGGAGCTGAGGGACCGATGCTAACTATTTGCAAGCCATATAAAGACACGTTGCAGGGTTATGAAACTGCGGCTCCGCAGATGGAGTTGCTGGACCGAACAGCCCGGTGAGGCGTCCGGGCTTGCAGGAGGGGTGAGCGTGGGATGTGGCACAGCGAGGCAGAACCCTGCTTGGGGGCGAACACGGGATGGTCTTTACAAGGTGCAGCCCTTAATACGCGCTGGTTTAAACCTTCAATACAGGCTGGCTTAAACCTTCTAAGCAAAGGCTGCATCCTCCTTTTGAGCCATTCGGCAAATTTAGGGGGTAATATGTAAAAATTAGCGTGAATTAAGCCTTTCTTTCAGAAGTGGGAGTCACCTTTTAGGAAGTTGGTGCTGTTTCACTGAGGATTGGTTCTTTTGGTATAGGTTGCACCACTTCTGGACTTCTTTCTTTAAAAACAAGTTATTTTTCTAGATTAGCCATCATTTCTCCAGCAGAAGAATATTCTGATGTATGGTGACTATACGTTCAGCTTGGGCAAAACGCTGATCCTGCAGTACGGATCAAACTTACAGCTTTGGTGTTGGTTCAATCAATTTTTCGTACCGCTGGCTTTCCCCTCGGTTTCAAAGCCGCGTTGTGCTCTGTGGAACATTGCTGGCATTTACTGACATGGGAAACAATTAAAGCTTTCACGCTACAGTTTCCTGATCTACAGTATAATATAATGCCTTGTGATTTTTGTTCTCAATTCGTGAAACCAATATTGTTTTCTCAGTCTTTTCTGCTGAACATCGGCAGAATCCGGGCTGCGTTTGAACTGGAGAGTAATGCGGGCTTCCGGCAGGTTGTACAGAAAATGCATAGGCTGCATATAGGCCTTCTATAGGAAAACTCCACTGCAGGAGACGCGCTGTGCGTACTGCCAGACAATCATTTTGCCCTGTTGCATCTCTGGTTGGAGCCACGCCATATCGCTAGGGACAAAAGGAAGGTGCTAGAGAAGCTGACCAGTAGCGCAAGTTCATCCCTAGTCCAGAGCAAACATTGCTGCAAGCAAAGCTTGTTTCATATGTAAAGAACCCAAAATAAAAAGAGATGGAGAGTGGGCTGTAAAGTGCTCTTCCCTGGAGGCAGATTGAACCACTGATTTGAAAAGCCTTGCCTAATATGCGACTGCTTAGAGTTGTTAATTTTTAATTTTATTTTGAGTTCATTTTCAGGAGTGCTTTTGCTGCCTAGAGATGGAGTTATCTTTGGTAAAATATTTTTGTGCTTTCATAGTAACATATCTATATAAATTTGGTGAATACAGCGCAATGGCCCAGGGAAACAAGGGAATGGGGACTTTTTGTTGTTGTTTTTAAGTTTCACCTCACTTCAGTAGTCGGTCAAGTACAAAACTGTATATTGCATAAAATAAAACTTTTTGTCTTTTTCAATTTTCATCTACTACAGTCCACTTGTGGTGCTGCTTTTGTCCTTCAGTGATTCTCAGTGCGTCGGTTCAAATACCGGGTGTGTTTATGAGGGGATGGGGGGCAGGCAGGGGAAGGTTGCTCTGGGTCTGTGCCATGTAAGGGGGTGTTTTCCTGTGCAAAATGGGAACTGGGAGTCTTAAACTCTAGAAAAATTTGACAAGCCTCGGAGCTTACTCCAGCCTCAGCCCTGAACACTGCCGAGAGGATGGGTGGTAGGTGGCAGGGTGCAGCCACGGGCACTGAGGTGCTGAGTGGGTCCCCTCACCGTGGTGGCATGCCCTGGGTGCAGGACCAGCCCGCAGCTTGCCCGGCGAGCCACGCACGTGGGAAGGGCAAAACAGGCTGAGCCTGGAGAAACCCCAGGAGCGGCGAGAGGAGAGCCCGGCTGTGGCTTTTAGCTGGGAAACGCATCACTTGAACTGGCATGGTGAGCGCGCGGGACGGAGCC